CACAGCCATGGCCTTCGGCGCGCAAGCGTATAGCGGCTTCTTCGTCGGAGGACACGTACACAACGTGCGCTGACTTATGGCGCAGCTGTTCAGACGTCGTTGAATGTCGTAGACACCAAAACGTGGTGAAGAGTGCGATGCAGATGACACTTGCGCCTGGCACACGCCCGCCCCAATCCCGCCCATCGTTGCGTAGAAGATCACGTGACAACCCGTACCACGTGATAGCCATGTTGTGGATGGATGGTAATAGGGAGTTTTCGTAGATCGTTTTCACCGTCCCGCAACGCCCTCCGCAACCCGCTACGATACCCGGAACTTCACAGTCAAAGCTATCAGCGCGCAGGTGCAACAGCAACTTCTTCGTTGCGGAGGGCTTAGCGGTGGGGGAAACGCGGTCTACGAAAAGTCCCCATTGGCTATATATACCCTTTGTAACGGACGGCAGCTGCGCCGCCTAGCCTAACATTTCGTCATCATGTTATTGCTGCGTAACTCGTCAACAATGACTCACCGTTTGTAAGCATGTTAATCGCTCGCATAACTGCAGAACTTGCGACTTTTTTTCTTTTGCGACTTTTCTAACGCATGATTTTATACCTTTTGAGAATCGCATTGGAGTTATCCTATTTGCTTGTTTGTTTTCTTTTTGTAATGATATATTTTGTATAACAATTTAAATCATTTTTACAACCCCTGCTCTTTGTAATGCCTTATCATTGCCTTTAGTGGTAGTTAAATAAACAAACAAATATTTCTATAAAAAATATCCGATAATGCACTGATTAAGCGAACAACTGACTGTCGGGTCACAAACGGCAAAGCTCCCGGACTTCAGGAGCAATAAAAATCACTAAACCAACAGAGTCCCACGAGGGTACTGTGATCCTGCTCTAAAACATTTCTTACTGCATGCTTATATTTATTTATTATAGTTCGACACTAAAAGAAATACTGACAAAACCACAGCACGCCCATAGAGGGCGGAAGTCGAACGTGGCCCATTATTAAGAAAATAAGCGCTACATTTTATAAATGCTGAGGTTAATAATCTGGAAGAGAGCAAAAAAGCTAAATGACCGACGTATTTTGGCTAGAAAAAAGCTCTCGGTCTCCGACTAAACCCTCACTAAAGGAAGGTGGCCCCATCTGTGAGCGACAAGACCAACGATTCATTATTTTAAATATATATTTTCATAGAAAACCAACCTGGAACTATGTTTGAAAATCAATATTATGGAAGGAGTTTAAACGTCGCCTTTGAGTAAAATACCAGTTACTTAAAGAGTGCAACTTTTATGACTGGCAAAGCAGTGTTATTTTCATTATCTAGATGTTCATTGTCTGTATATTTTTATTAAAATAAGTATCAGTACGGGCGATAATTACTCGACAGAGTGTTCCAAGCAGATATGTTGTAATGTTTTCGCATTACAGCACTTAGAACAAAAAAATATCGTTAGATATTTTTGTATATTTTTTTCAGTTTCATAGTTATGGACACATTTCTGTGGCATTTCAGAATAAATGAAGAATGATCGGGCTCAGCTTTGATCGGTACTGAAGGTACTCGAGCAACCGTGGGCCCATATCCTGGACCACATAGCCACCGAACTCTGTCCACGAGTATAGTTTAACACACTATTTAATGTTGTTGCGTTTCGCTCTTTAGCTAGTTTTTTGGAACCTGCAACAAGTAAAGGTATGCATCTTCTAATAGGTCTAAATGAGTTATATGAAACGCCTGGAGAGTAAACGTTCACTTTTTTTAATTGAAACGTTCATTTTGACGAAATCCCGGCGGTGTCTTTCGTTTGTCAGCGCCGGGGAGAGAGAGAGGAGGATGTGGAGAGGGTGACGCGTGCGACGCCCCCATTGGTCCGATGCGCTGACGTCAGCACGCGCCCACCTCTTCCTCTCTCCCCGGCGCTGACACAGACACCGCCGGGTTTCCTCAGAACGACCGCTTTTGTTTTCGTCAAAGCAGCGTCGCACACCTGACGCGGAGCCAGAGGGGAGAAGGAGCCGCGGCGCAGCGGAACGCGTGCGTGCGCAGTGTCCGCACTGCCGTCCCCAGGTGTTCTTCGCGTGGCGTTTCTCAAGGGTCATGCCAACACATTCCCTAAAAATCCACCAATGGATCTTCCTGTATCTTTTTTTCCAGATTAAAGTTATTTTTGTTGTAATCTAGATATTTTATGTTGTTCATGGTGAATTTTTTATGACTATTTAAGGAGATATCATGATCAAAAGTAATTCAATAACTATTTGCATGCTGGTATACAATGCGTACGAGCGCACTATATGGCACCGGCTAAAAGCCATATCGTAGGGATCTATAAATACGCTGCTTTTATCCCAGTTACTTTAATTATAGTGAATTAACGCAGACACGTGGCATCATAAAAATTAATTCAGCAATGGTATAAACCTCCCTTTCTACTGCTCCGCATTTTTTAAAAGAAGGCTGGTACAAATATATAACTGCCGCAGTTACTACCTCTTTATGGCCATTACTACCAGTGGCGTACCAACTTGTTTCTGAGTGGGGGGGGGGGGGGGGGGTGAGAAACTAAGCCCCCCCCCCCCCCCCCCCCCCCAGGGCCGGGGGACGGTGCCCTTGGTATCCCTTGAGGGCCGCCGGTCAGTGTTTGCCCTGCCAAGTGGCAAATGCTTCAGGGGGGAGGGGGCAAAACACGTGCCTTGCCCCCCCCTCTAGGAACTGGGCGGGGGGGGGGGGGGGGAGGGAAGGGGCAAGCCTTCCCATGCCCCCCCCCCCTCCCCCTGGGTTGGTACGCCCATGGTTGCTGCTTTTTTACTAGTTGTTTCACCTCAAATACACCACAGGCTGTAAATGCGGCTGTTATTGGCCAAGCAAGTCGGGATAGCTCTTAGTGCTACTTTCTGTGTCTATGCAGTCAAAAAGCTATAGGCGCATAGGCGCGTGGACGCTCGAACGCTCGAGCACTTTGAGCGCCGATCAAAGCAGTGCACGAGCACTCTTAACTTCTTTTGAAACTCCTCAGAAAGTTGTCCACGGGCCACGAGTGACGGCGATTTTCATCTCGCATTTTTAAACTTACTTCCATGGCTTCGTGTTTAGACCGCTAGGCGCTGATAAAATTTGATTCGCGAGAGAAGGCTGGTGAGCGAACCTGCCGCTGCAACTTTCTGTTCAAGCCGCTATGAGCCGTCAGTTTCGCTGGAGTCGCTGGTCGCCAGCTATGCGGTAAATCTAAAACATGGGCTGTGAAGCGCAAGGGAGCAGGTAGTTATATCGACTGTCGCAAATAATTGCGTGAATGGTTTCCTCTTACTAAGGGATTTATCTATCGGGCCATTCAGATTCTATTTGGAAGAATTACATTACTGAGAAAAAGCAACATTCTTTTAAAATTATTGATCGCTGAAGTGATCACTGAGGAAAGGCATGCCCTAAAAATGGCAGGCATAAAAGGCGGAAGGGCAATCCACGGAGTCGGCGATTAGTGCAGCGTGCGTTCATGTGCTCCGTTAGATCGGCGGATTGATGACGCGTGTAATGTGTGCGCAATATAACGTGTAGGAGAGGCAATGCTGAGCGCGCGAGCAATGCAACTATTTTGTGTCTTTTGAATTGGGCAATAGCTAGCGCCACCTAGCTTCTTCAGTAAATAGCAACTACGGTCTTTTTTTCTTTTTTGCGGCAGTGAGTGCTTGTTTTAAAGTCAATCAAGTGGTTCCTGCCAGGTTTTGTGAATGAGGCTAGTTCCTGTTACTAACTTTTTCCATTAGCAACTGTTACGAATACTTCCATTATACTAACAGCCGATACTGAGAGGATAGTAACATATGTGACAAGCAGTTACTAACATAAGCTTAGTAATTACTATACTACTTTTTTTATGAGTGTAGAATACCTAGCGGATCTACAGGGTGATTCAAGGAGAAGCCAGGCTCTTTAAATCGACCGCAAAATTCGGTTTCTTAACCTATCGCGCTACGACTTTGTGCGGCGTTGCCCACAGATGGTGCATCTGTTTTTGTAAAATTTGCAAAGAGCGAACTTACCTGAGGAAAAAGTAAAGAAAGGAAAAGGCTAAGCTCCTATGGAAACGCAGCGACGCCACCGGTCTTCAAACAACACGGCGCCGTTTCGCACGGGAGACAAGAGATGGCGCAACGAACGCCGCCAACGAACGAACATACGCTGCCGAGAGCCGGCGTCTTTAGCAGACGATCTTTTCGACTCAAAAGCGGCGCGCGTTCTGCAGGCGGCGACAGTCGCAGGAACAAAAACAGGCGCGGTAATAACAAGGAACTGCAGTTCCTTGTCTGCTAAAGACGCGGGCTCTCGGCACCGTATGCTTGTTCGTTGGCGGCAGTTGGCGTCGCGACCGCTTGCGCCATCCCTTGTCTCTCATGCGAAACGGCGTCGTGTTGTTTGAAAACCGGTGGCTTTGCTGCGTTTCCATAGAAGCTAAGCCTTTTTCTTTCTTTACTTTTTCTTCACGTAAGTTCGCTCTTTACAAATTTTACAAAAAAAAATGCACCATCTGTGGGCAACGCTGCACAAAGTCGTAGCGCGATAGGTTAAGAAAGTGAATTTTGCGGTCGATTTAAAGAGCCTGGCTTCTCCTTGGATCAGCCTGTAGATTTGAACTCTCTGCACCCTATGGCCCTCTAGCTATCAACGGCCTTCAGTCGCATACCTTGAACTCGTGCCGCTCAAGTGGCACACCCTCAGTATCTCAGGAGCTGCGCCCTTTCCTTCGAGGCCCGTTTAAAACCTGACCCGCTTGAACCCAAAAAGAGCTACGCAACATAGATATCAGAACTGAAAAAAAAACAGGTCAAACACGGTTCTGCCCGATCCACAATCGGACACGCCGAGACATCGAAGGGTATTCCGTCACGCAAGAATGCAGACGTGATTTCACAAAGAGCGGTACTGCGATAAAAGGTGCAAGAAACACGAGAGCCGGCGGTCGGCTGAGATCCTTAAAGAGGTGGGCATCCTCTGCCTGCATCTCGCGACACCTAATCCAAGCGTTGAGCAGAGCGGATGCCGCGGCGTCGATGTTGAAGTGCTCCGGAGGAACCGGTCCCGATACCTTATCGGCCTTCTTCAAACGGCGACAGACCGGCCGTCGATTTCGGAAGATAATTCCGCCGATTCCTCGCCTCGTCTTCTTGCACGCCTTGCAGTGTTCGAGGCGCCCGCACTGCTGTCCTACTGCCGCCGCGTACTATTTGCGCAGTGCCCGAGGATAATGTCACGGCAGGTTGCGTGTGTGCACGCCCTGGTGTGGGTACTGCTGTACGTCGGAACCATAGGTGAGCTTCTTCTTGAACGCTCGTAACCTCACGCTTCGCTGGAAAAACGATGTGTTGCGGGTCCTGGTGTTTGTCGGCTTACCTAGTTAAAAGTGTTAATTTATATGAATTTGAAACGCCGCGTGTTGTAAGTTATATGCACTCCCGCTACCCATAATAAAAATAAGCATGAATTTACTTCTTTTTACTAAAAGTAAACATTTTGTCTATTATCACCTCATCATTATCTCGCTTTTTTCAGTGAGGTTCCAACGGTGTCCATTACAATAATCATGTATAAAATATCAACGACGTAGCAAACACCCGGTACTGACATATTACCAAGTACAGGTTGTGACTTCGACTTCCGAACATTCACACTGCAATCAAACAAATACTGATCAGGGGAACCCAAGCGTCAAACGAATAACTGAAGAAAAAAATATTGTCACGCCTTTTCGGTCTCAAGTTAATATTTAAGATACTGTTATATTTTTCTAAAATATTCTGCAGTCAATCAATCAAACTAGGCAAGAACCCAACGCGTTCTACACGTAAAAAAAAATTATTTGTACAAAAAAATGAGAGAAAAAAAATGTTGACGGCTGTCGACCTGTATTGTCTTAAGCTGAATGGAGCTATATAGCCGCTGATATCTTAAGGAATACTTCTTATCGACCAATACAGCTCTCTCATTCGCTGCGGACCGCTAGTAGGATGGCCGAGAATCGCCACGCCCTGCGTTTCTTAAGTTGTCAATAACTCTAGAAAGCTTTAGGTAGCATTAGGAGTGTGACTTGAGAAGGACGTAGACCCCGGTGCCTGCTAGAAATGCGACTTCGACCGACGGCACACACAAATATTTGCTATTTGAGTTGTTTTAAGGTGAAACTAATCGTTATCTTTGTTCGGATAAAGTACTTGCTTTCATTTGTTTTAACTAATAACATCGCCACTGATAGCTGATAAGAGCGTTAGGGCATGCACGGTCATTTGCAATGATCTCAGGATCAACGGGACGTCAATGAAATCGCATGCAGCGTCTGTAGGTAGCAAAATTCGGGAAACAAAATTGCGAAGAGTCGAACACCGGCATAATGGCACACGCCTGCTGCCCGTAAACTGTCAATAGCTATTGAGTAGGCCTCTGAAATTAATATTTGTCGCCTCGTACAATGTATCCTGCTTTGAGAAGACGCCTTATTGACACGCTTGGAGTTCCTAGAAGAATAAAGCTGAGCCATTTCCGAGATTACGTCAGCGATTGAGATGGGCACGTAGAACATTTGCAAAATATGAATCGCTTATGCAATCTGGAAACGCGATGTTCTCGAGTGGGGTCGAAGTCTCGCCGCTGATACGGAAGACGTGGCGCTGAGAAGAAGCCTGCCGTGTCTAGAGAAGCATGCCCGCTCCAAGAATCGTGCAGGCCAAGTAGTGCTAGCAACGAAGGATACGAAGTCCTTCAGTTCCGTTGTACGAAACTAGATCGATGCCACTCCAACGTAATGTAACAGTTTCCAAGGACTGGTCAGGATATCTCTGGTCTAAACTATACCTCTCTAGTTTCTCATCGAGACCAGTTCTGCACCAAATAAAATCTAAAAAAAAAAAATCAGGATTCCTATTGGATATTTTTTTTGTTTATTACATGTGAAGACAGATTATAAAATATCAAAATTACTACTTTGGAATATTTATCAGCTCTCGTAAACCACAATAATAAATTGACGATGACAATAATTATAACAATAATAATTTATTTCCATCGAACGTTGATGGTGACGATCAAGGCAAAAAGCTGTATGGCACAGCTTGACAAGTACTTGACCGCCTACAAAGCACAATAGCAGAAACGCAAAAAAAAAAAAAAAAAAAAAACATTCACAAATTTTGATTACCGCAATTTAACAAAGCGTGTTTCAGACTACATATTTTATCATCGGCTATAACAGAAAAGTGACCTATTTGCAGACAGAAGTTATAAGACCACAAAAGTTTGGTTCATACTCAGATTCATTTGTGGAGAAAATTAGTCTAATTTCTCAAAGGGACAATGCACTGAATTCAAATCCTTCATCTTCAAGTAAGTTAAGTATTTTTGGGATAGTATGTTTGAGCATTTGTGTGCCATAGTTCGTTCTTGCATTGACCACCTCCCAACATTCTGCACGACGGGTAGAATACGCGTGAATATTTTCAGATAACTGTCCAATGTTTAATCAAAAAGTTTGTACCCCTAATTTGTTCTAGTCTTAGACAAGTGAGACGTCTGTAGCTAAAAAGAGAGCGTGTATATTGATAACGCGAAACTTCTTAAATAAACTAGCTGTGTGGAACTCAAATGGAACGTCTTCTATAGCCCTTAACGCTTTTGTTTTGTTGTTGTTGTTGTTTTTTTGCAACAAGTGTATTTTTTCGAGATTCGTCGACGTTGTTGTACCCCAGACTAAATTACAATTATTTAGGTGGGAGTAAAATAACAAATTATATATTGCTGGTAACATGTACCGGTGGCGGTTTATCACACCTACTACTTGTAACAGCTTAGAAATAAGGTAGTTAACGTGACTATCCTATGACATAGTCTCGGTCAAAATGACACCTAAGAGCTTGAAAGATTTTACAACCTCTATTTTAGATGAACTCAAAATTATATCTTTTGTAATTGTGACTACCTTATGTTTTGGGCGAAAAATCACTGCTTTTGTTTTATCGACGTTGATTTGTAGGGAATTAATATGACTCCAAATCGCTAATGCAGATAACGCCTGATTTGCCATGTCATATAGCACATCGACATTTTCAGCTGAAAAAAGCAAACTAGTGTCGTCGGCATAGTTGATAAATGCTGCACCAGAGTTAATATTCTCAATATCATTAACGTAAACATTGAAAAGAAAAGGACCTAATATACTTCCTTGGGGGACACCAGTAAGAATACGTTTCGAACTTGACGAATATCCATCAATATAAACTAGTTGCATTCGATGCTCCAGATGCGACTTCACTAACTGCAAAGCATGCCCTCGAATCCCATATTTATCCAATATTGCTAGTAAAATTTTATGATTTACACAATCAAAAGCCTTTGTGAAATCTATGAATATTCCAAGAACAACTTTTTTTCTTCAAGATTTTGCAAGATGAATTCTTTCTGGACGAAGAGGGCAGCCTGGGTAGATTTATGCTTTATAAAACCAAACTGCGAAGTAGTTATCAAATTATGCTTAGTTGAAAAATTAGTTAGGCGTGTATAAAGTACCTTTTCAAGGGCTTTAGAAAAAACTGGCAATATAAAAATTGGTCTGTAATTACCCATATAATTTACACTCTCCTTTTTGTGTAGTGCTGACACTTTGGTTATTTGCATTCGTTTAGGAAAAACACCAGAAACCAAAGAAAGATTGAATACATGCGTTAGCACTGCGGCTAATAAATGAACAACATACTTAACAGGCTCTACAACCGGTTCTAAAAAAATCGAGACGCTGTTTCTATCATCATCAAAAACACGAGACTTTACAGTATCAATCCCGCTTCCAATATTCACAAAATGCTCGTTAAAAGCGTTCGCCAAAGAACATCCGGTTAGTTCTACACCGTTACGCACTATTTTATTAATTGAAATAGATTAATGGTTTCGGTTTAAAAGAGAGTTTAACTCCTTTCACGTGACGTCCGTACGTCCCAAGACCAAACTAAAGTAAATGCATATTTCAAGGTTACTGCATCTTCCTCTTTATTCAGACGGTAAATGTTATCCGGCTCTGCTCCGCTAAGCATCAGTTTTATACTGCCTTATTCATACTTTATCGCTTGATTCTCATGTTAGAGGAATTATTATGTTTTATTAAGTATAGAATGCGCTCACAATGGAGAAACTAAACGTTGTTCCAATTCAATGATCTTTCGGACGGATGTACTTCGAAATGAAACTGTGGTCAACCTACCCAGAGGCATTCTTTGCTGACACACTTGTTATTTACATATTTTACAGATAGATAATTATAAAACGGGCCAGTCCGAGATAATGCCTATGTCAGATGAGACGAGCCTGGGTTCCCACCGGCGTATTCCATCGGAGCTTGTTTCGCGTGTATGCCGCTCGTGATGCGAGGCTCTTGCCATGTTCGCTGTGCGTGAGTTGGTGCACGTTGTTCTACGGTGTAGATGGTGTCGCCCGCTTGTTCGCTACAAAACTATGAACCGTGACAAGAATACATCAAATCGTTTTTCTTTTTCTTTTTTTTTACATTTTTGATTACGTGCAGCCTAAAGGAGCCGAAAGACAAGCGCTTCAATCTATTTCTTCAGAAGGGTCAGGCACCGTGGTGGTCGTCGTCCGCGCGAGCAAAGTGTGTATACAACCAAAAATAGACCCTGCCGTTACCGCCGTGTAACCGGTTTGTTCAAACGGTTTTGGTCTGCACTCTTAACGTATATAAGAAGAATCGGTGCAATCTACGGGGGCCCAGCGAACTACAAGGCTTAGACGATTTTTGTAGCACAAAAACTGACATCCTCGCACGTGAGGAATAACTAACTCCTAATATGATCCGTTTTACCTAAAAAAAGGCATCTCCAAAGCATTGTTTGTTAAGATTCATTAGATCATTGTCAATAGAGCGCTCTGTATAGTCTGCGAGAAAGCGCGGGCGGGTGCATATATTGGCATTAGCATTCAGCCCCGATCTCATTTTCCAATACATCATCCAAAATACCGTTTGCAAACACTGCCTGAGACTTTTTTTTTCATGCGTGACAGTTACGCTACATTGGTCGTAAATAACTGTCTGCAGAGATGTCCGAAGCATGTGTAAAGCCAGCATGCTTCGAAGCTGCTTGAGGCGTTACCGTATATAAGACTTCCATGGTGTCTTCACTTAGGGAACATCGTATATTTTCAGTTCAGTTTAATAATCCCCGAAGGAACTTCAATGAGATGAATTTTCATGAGGTGTGTGTATGTGTTTGTGTGTGTGTGTGCGTGTGTGTGCATGCGTGTGTGTGTGTGCGTTTGGGGGGGATCTAATATAAAAAGTAAACAGTAAAGGTTGCAGAATAACAGTTAATTATGAACAAGAGACGTATCATACTTGCCATATAAAAGCGCAAGTAGAAAGAAAGGAAGCGGTATTGAATAAACATCTTGACTAGTGAAAAAACACTTCTGAGGTGCGACTCGTAGGTGCCACTGAATTTAACCCGTGTGTTGTTTCAAGTTCGGTCATTTCAGGGAAAGAATTCCGGTGAGTGCTAGCCAGTGAAAGCAGGGAATTTCGAAATGTATTGTTGTTGTTGTTTTTCGCGGATAGAGGTTTTACTCTAAAGTTGGGCTCAGCACGCGAATATTATGTGAGAAGGCGGGGAATAGTAATTGTCGCAAAAAGAAGAGGAGGGAAGGAGGATTTTGCGTACCATGACAAGCGGAACAAGTTTAGTATGATGAGCGAGTGGTGTGAATGCATGCTTTAAGCTTTTTGCTTCCGTTCGGTACCTTCCAGGAGCTGATGTCGAATCCACGTTCTACAAATGCTGCCAAGAAGGCAACATGTGGGCGGCGTCCGCGTCCAGTTGCGACAGTCTCGCCAAGAAAGCATTGGCTTCGGTCGTTTCCGAAGAACACCGCTCGTCGTGCGAGATCACCATGGATATATGCTGCCGAGCCACCATGAGAGAGCGGTTTTGTGACGCCGGAAAGGCAGCCGCTCGCAGCAACAAGGGATGCGAAACCCCGGATGATCAGTGCCCCGGAGACACCTACAAGGTACTGCCGCCTCCATTGCCATTCGGTCCAACGTCGTCGTTCATATTTCGGCGACCCAGTCACTTCTTTTTTGGTTAGTCAACGTAAAGGCTGGTGCACACACTTGCGAGAGTGCTTATACGACCGTATGCCCTGAAACCTCCAATATCCCTGTTTCTGTCTGTTTTCTTTTTTTTTTGGCTCGAGAAACTTTTGAGAGTGTGATGAACGACCGTCTCTCTCAAAGACCTCGCTAATACTTCCATACCTTCGCTATATAGTGAAATGCAGTTCAAGAGTCACCTCACAGATGGTGCCAGCGTGCCAGTGTGTTCTCTCGTCGCAAAAGATAAATAAAAAAAAAATTAAAAATAAAAATCAGTTGTAAGCAAGCGCAAGTGTGTGAACGGGCCTTTGAAGGTGTTGGGGCGTGAAAATTAAACAGGATAGATTATTTTTTTGAAAGGGAATGCCTGTAAGCTACATAGTACTATCACCAAGTTTCGCGATTTTTAGAGCCCTCATAAATGCAATAAACAATTGACAAATGTTGATTATTTTCGTCTCACTCTAAAAAAAGCCCGTGTGTCTACTTTCCCGCACAACACTCGGAGAGGCAATCACCGCAAACGTATGGAGGCAGCTCAGCGAATGACGATGCCGAAAAATATGTTTAGACCGAAAAACGCAGTCTGAGTTGTTACATTAAGCAATGCAAGTCGTCACTCTTACACTGATTAATGTCACAACTCAGACTTCATTTTTTTATCTTAACGTATGTTTCGGCATCGTCACTCGCTAAGCTGCCTCCGTAAGTTGCGATGGTTGGCTCTCCCAGTGCTGTGCGGGAAAGTACACGCACGAGCTTTTTTTTTTTAGAGTGTAGCAGTATACAGTTATCTTATATATTATTTTTGGCGTGTCCTAACCCCTTTAAAGGTATTGTCACTGACAGTTGAGTCTCGAACATCATGTCATCGTTCCTTTACGACTTTCATGGCGCCTTAGGAATCTCAATGAGCGACCATTTGTTAGCCGGTCATAGTAGCCGACCGCTTAAACAACGCAGAGCGGGGCTTCATAAGTTAATTGCGCTTCTCGCTTTGTGGTTGGCTCCTCGACTCATCGTACAATACCGCGATCTGATTGGCTGCGGAGCGGTAATGAGATGCGTGGTGCTCACCACGCCCTGCATTGCTTAATTTGTCAGTGACCTGAACAAGACAAATACTAAACCAGCGATCAGATTAGGAAGATGCCACTTTCATAATTCGGGATGTTTAGCTTGGTCGTGGTCAGATCCCAGTAATACGTATAGTCGTGGTTCTTGTTCGTTTTCTAATAAGATCTAAGCAAGACCAGGAGATGAGCTGGTTAATAGTGTTCAACTCGGCGGAATCGCTGGCCCTATCCGCGGCTGCACACGGGAGGCTTCAAAAGCGTGTACCCGTTCAACACTAGGTTAAGCGCCCGGCTCAATTAGAGGTGTACACAGAGCTAGAAGTTATGTCCAATGTAAGGAAAAAGTATAGTTCCAGCCGGAAAAAGTTACGCAATCGATTGGAGCCCCGAAAATGTTAGCCAAAGGTTCGTCGAGAGTTCTGAGCTCTCCTAAGTTAAAGCAAGGTAACACGCCACTGGGATAATAATATGAATTGGTGAAAACATGCAATTAAAAACAAAGAGTGAATAGCTTGAACAACTCGAGTTACCGACGCTTCAAAAATTACTGAGAGCGAGTGTTTCAAAACGCGTCTTGGGCGGATGGGAACGCAAAAAGAGTCAAGCCAATCAACGGGCAACATAAAAACTGCACAAAGAATGCACACTGACGATGTAGCCAAGCGCGCGCCGTGAACAAACACACGAAGTGTGCGAGGAGCAGAAAAAGTTTCACGCCATACCTGAACGTATCGAGTCCACTACTTTAAATTTGTGTACGTACTCTCTTCGGACGTTTTGACGACTCCGAACCAACCAAACGGAGCTGCACTTAAAAGGCTCAGGTCCCCCCACCCCGTAAAGCGGGCACCTCCAAAATAAATGATCGGTTCTTTTACCACCCATGTTGTGTGAAACAACATCTAATTTTCGGCGACGCCGTACCATAAGGTCAACAAAATCAATTGCAAGCTCATTTTCACATGTGATTACTGAAAACAAAGGAGGCTGTAGTAGTTTGCGTCAAAAATCAACGCAGGGCACTTGTGTATTAATGCCGCGTGCGCGTGCGACGCTCCCTTTGGTCCAAAGCGCTGACTTCTGCACGAGTCAACCTCTCCCTCTCCCCCCGGCGCTGACAAACTGACCGACACCGACGGGTTTTGGACAAAACGCCCGTTTTCGTTTTCGTCAAAGGAGCGTTGCACAGCTGGCGCGGAGCTAGAGAGGAGGAGGCGCCGCGGCGGCGCAGTGGAATGCGGGCGTGCTCAGTTGCCGCTCTGCCGTAGCCGGATGTTTTTCGCGCTGGGTTTCCGCAGTAGCTGCGCGTGAGCTGGGACATGTGTGTGTAGTTAAAACGATGGATGCTGTTCCCTCCACGAGCAAAATGGACGTGGTTTCTTCCACGAGTGGTATGGATGTGGTTCTTTCCACGAGTGATATGCATGACCGTATCCGAGGGCGTCGACGTACTCTGACAGGCAGAGTACAGAAAAGAGGGCGAAACAAATTACACGAAGATCCACTGGTGGATTCTTAGGGAATGCGTTAGCATGATCATTGGGAACGCCATGCGTCCCCCCTTTGGAAAACGCTAACATCGACCCCGTAACCAGTCCAAAACGTGGTAGCAAAAAATGGAGGAAGCAAACGAGAAAGTCAAAACAAAAAAAGCGAAATGTTTGTCAGTGTTAGCGTCTCCGAAAAGGGGACCTGTGTGGCGTTTCCCAAGTGTCATGCTAACGTATTCCCTTAGAATCCACCAATGGATCTTCCTGCAATTTTCCTTCGTTCTCTGGGGTATACCTCTTCTACGTGTCACTTGCATTTGACGCAATTGTCCTTTCTACTGAGTATGTAGCGATTAGCCCAAATTAATATCTGACGAGAGCAATTAATACTTTACCAGGACATATTGGTCAAAAAGTGTGTTGTAAAGTTAGCGAAGAGAGGACGCCTCACAATTGCCAATGAAACATAAAGTCCTTACCGTGCAAAACCCGGGAATATTTGCCACTTCATCGAGGTCTTCGTTGCACGGCGCCTACATTCGACGCACACTCAAACTGTGCCTAACCCCTTAAACGAAGGAAAGAGAATCCGGCATTCCTGCTCAGAGTCAGTTGCATGGCTTTGTTCATGCTCGTAGGATCATATTTGTGGGTAACATTTTGTCGCTTTTCTAGTGAGGCTAAACTTTATTTCGTAACTGATTTCACGAAGTTGTCCGATCGTGTAACTGAATCTCTCGAGTATTTTTCTGCCAAAGTCGTATCAACCATAGAGCATAAATAGGTCCACAAATTTTAAAAATAATCGAAGTTGGTTTGAAAGGGATTTTGGAACCAAGCTATGAACAACAATAATGAGGTAGCTCGCACCTCACCAACTGCTCCGTTAGTTCGCAACAACTTTTGACGTCTAAGGTTTTCTTATACTATTCCAAAACAAATCACCAAAACCCCAAGAACGAATCTTACTTTTACGAGACCGTTTCAAATATAAAAAGTAACGCCATTGTTCAGAATACTTGTAGGGACAGTGAGCCAAAAGCAACTTACCTTAGCAGTCAACTACAGGCTCCTGCAATGACGAATGCTGCTGTCGTGGGGGACTTAAAAGGCCACCTGCGTCGGCGATCGGCGATACAGTAACCCAAAGGCTGCAAAAGCTGCGCACTTTGCGAGCAGCATAGCGGCACTCATCGCCCATAGAACCGACAGCTGGCGACAGTCCTGCCGACCGTAGTCAAACAGCCCACAAAGAAGGCGTCACGTTCCAGTGCAGTGCACGTTACGGGCTTCCTGTCGGTGCCTCGCTGTATCGAATGGGACCTTTACCGACATTCTATTGTACGCAAACCTGCTTTTTATCTGCAGCGACGCCAGTAAAATGACATCGGCATTGTTACGAGGCTTCAGTAAAAGCTGTAGTAGTGATTAAGTTTGGGGTAAAAAAATGTGTTATAAATACGCGCGCGTGCGTGCGTGCGCGCGTGTATGTGTGTGTGTGTCTGTGTGTTTGTGTGGCATCTGCTCTAAAGTTCTTAGCCTTAATCACTCTTTTTTTTTTACTGACGGTGGAAGTAAAATTTAGCCAAATTAGGTCGCCTTCAATTTCAAGCATATTGTTTAGAAAGCCGAGATTCCAAACTTTCTTCCGAGTTGCATTGACGCCTAGAGAGCGGAAGTTACAATGCCTAAAATATTTAAAACCATCTGAACGGTTTTCTTTTTTTTAGAGCGCAGCTCTTAGGGGCCCGTTTCCAGCCTGAGCGGCGTCGCCGTCGCCGTCGGCGTCGGCGTAACCGCGCGTTGCATGCAACAGGTGGCTAACCACCTGACATGCAACCACTCAGGGGAGATGCAACCTGTTGCATGCAACCTGTTGCATGCCACCTGTCGCATGCAACAGGTTGCGTGCAACCGTGCATGCGTGCAACCGTGCATCGCCGTCGCCGTTGGCGTAACCGCGCGTTACATGCAACAGGTTGCATGCAACCCGAGATGCAGCCACTCAGGGGAGATGCAACCTGTTGCATGCTACCTGTTGCATGCAACAGGTTGCATGCAACAGGTAGCATGAAACAGGTTACAAGAGAAGATCCAACAGCGTGCATGCACCCCTGTTGCATCTGCGTAATTGCGTGTTGCATGCAACTCGCGTTGCATGCAACTCAGGCTGCATGCAACCTGACCAGCAGTAAGCCAGGTAGCATGCAACCTGAGTTGCATGCAACGCAATTACGTAGAAGATGCAACAGGGTGCATGCAACCTAGGTTGCATGCAGCCCAACGATTGCGCCGGGTTTCGTGCAACCCGGCGACTCCGGCGGGTTGCATGCAACCCAAGGTCACGTGACCCCCCAGGCCACGTGACACGTGATGAACAACATTCACGCCAAAAAAAGAAGGGGAGGAGGACTAGCAGCCGTGATCACGAGGGAGGAGGAGGGAGGAGGAATATACCCTCCCTTCAGTATCCTTCCCTCCTCCTCCTCAAGAGCTGCGCTCCAATTCGGCGTTACAGGGAGTTGTAAACGGCTTTCATTTTTTTTTTAGCTTTTACGGTTTGATAACGCGTTGGAACTTTTTTTTACAAAAGTGATCTTCTAGCCGAAATCTAGCTTCCGCGTAACATAACGCGGATTCCGAGTAAGCCCCAAAGAACGTACTTGGGCAGTCCCGACGCTTTTTTAATCTTGACCGCAGCAACGGTCCAAGTAAAATCAGTTTTCTGCCTCATAAAAGTCGAAAGTGTTGTTGCTTTTTTGTTTCGGTTGCAAAAATGTTTTGTTGCGTGGAAAGCTGCTACGGGGAAAAACTAAGGGAGACAAGGAGACGTCGGAACACCGATCTCTGATTGGAAGGATTAGTGGGTAGACCTAAAGCTATAACTGCCTTTCTCTCCACTGCACTCTTCCAAGGTGTTAGAACGCGTTCGAACAGCGAGTGGAGACAAGGGCGACTAGGCACAGTATGAGCGCCGCATCGGCATCTTTTTCAGAGCCGATACGGCGCTGCGGTGTGTGTGTGTGTGGACAGGCATTCTCATCCACCCTTCTGCGATATAAGTGCGGAGGCGAAAACAGAAATGTCTATCGGACACTCCTGTTTACTCTTAGAAAGAATTGCCCAATAGGAAAAGTCGAAACTCTATAGTGCGTAATTTCGATAAAGTGTGCGCTACATAAGCTGGTATATATATCTTTACTCGTCATTCTTGTTTAGCGTCGAAAATAACTTGCTTATTTCGTAAGTACCACTATTATCTAGTTTTGCTTCGCGTTTCAACTTCAAAAAAAAAAAAGAGGGTATCAATTGTGTTTCGGGACTAAGCCCACGGAACCATAAAATGTCTCGTTTCATATGTCGGATTACATTTTGTAAGATTACGCAATTCTTCATGCTAGTTTTTTTTTTTTTTATGAATAAAATGTGTATATAAAATAATATAAATAATAAATAAAATATAATATGTGTTATATAAAATATAAAATAAACCAAAAAACGCAATCTGAGTTGTGACATTAAGCAATCCAAGCGTGACGTTTTGGATTGCTTAATGTCACAACTCAGACTGCGTTTTGTTTAGTTTTTTTTTTTTTTTTTTTTTTTTAAACCTATGTTTCGGCATTGTCACTCGCTGAGCTGCCTCCGTAAGTTGCGGTGATTGGCTCTCCGACTGCTGTGCTGGGAAGGAGATGCACGGGCTTTATTTAGAGTGTATCTACGGAGAGAGCTCGGCCAATGACGAGGCTGGAAATAGGTTTAAACCTAGAAACTTATTTAGCACTGTAGCGTTGATCATGGTTAGTCGTCGTGCTCAGTGCCAGAGCGCAGACAATTTTTTCTAGGTTTAAGCATATTTCCAGCCTCGTCATTGGCCGAGCTCCCACCGTAGATAGCAGCGACTCTCCATATTTATTTCAGTGTCCGTTATCGGAAGTCATATCGCGAATTCACGATACAAACTTTGTTTCACCTGAAGTCAAAGCGCCCAGTCGAATACTCCAACACTCACAAACACCCACGTGCCATGCATTCACTCTAAAAAACGCCCGTGCGTCTACTTTCCCCGCACAGAACTCGGAGAGCCAATCACCGCAACTTACGGAGGCAGCTCAGCGAATGACGATGCCGAAACATATGTTTAGACCAAAAAAACGCAGTCTGAGTTGTGACATTAAGCAATGCAAAACGTCACGCTTGCATTGCTTAATGTCACAACTCGGACTGCGTTATTTTTTGGTCTAAAACATATGTTTCGGCATCGTCATTCGCTGAGCTGCCTCCGTAAGTTGCGGTGATTGGCTCTTCGAGTTCTGTGCGGGGGAAAGTAGACGCACAGACTTTTTTTAGAGTGTAGACACACGGGCATTTTTTAGAGTGTAGACACACGGGCATTTCTTAGAGTGATAGGTGCAAGCCACGGGGGTTTTCACAACACAAATTTGGTTTAACCAATGTTAGAGGAAGTGGAGATAGATGACGACAGGTGCCACGACATTGCGCATTTGACACAGCTCGATTGGTCGTATCTGGTTGTCTTATTTCGAGTGTCACTGACAGTTTAAGAAATTCGGGGCGTAGCCAGTCTGACGCATTTTATTTCCGTTCCTAAGCTAGAGATATTGCAGCGATAGTCGATAAGAACGACGAAGCCCGAGTCACGGAGAAAGACGCGAGGACACCACAGGCCTCGCCCAGCGAGTCTTCAACTGTCGGCGAATCTAGGTGTCCCGTTCTCTGCAGGACTGCTGTGACGGCTGTCGCCTAGGTCTGGCAGCCGCCAAGCTGGGCACGTCCTGCAACTTCGATACTTTCTCGCTCGGTCTGCCCTGGGACGACGCCTTCCAGCACTGCTGCACGGGAAAGGACGAGCAGTCGGCAGCTCCGGACCACGAAAACGAAGGTCAGGGTCGCCCACCCTCCGAGCGTACCGTACAGACTGATTCACTCACGTTGCAACTGCTGACGATCGGAAAAGCAAAAGGCTGGTTCACACACGTGTGACTGCTTTCAACAGCGGCGCAGACGGTCGTAAGCAGTCACATAAAGGCCTGTTCACACTCTTGCGACCAAGTACGACTGAGAGAGACGAGATCTCTTAAAACTTCTTAAATATTTTTAGAATGAGGGAACACACTGGTATTGTGGCGCCAGCTATGCGGTGACTCTGGAGCTGCATTTCACAAGAGCGAAGGTTTTGCGGGATTTCCGAGGTCAAATGTGCGTGATAACCATAGAAAGGTTCGTTTATAACATTGACAAAAGTTTTTCGAGCCAAGAAAGAAAGGATAATGTGCGAGAAATAAAAAAAAAAATATGCCGGACCGCCGAGTTTACACTGCTTCCCAATAGATGGCGCCAGTGTGTTCTCTGGTTTAAGAAGTTTTAAGGAACTTAGGTTTAAGAGGTCGCAAGAGTGTGAACGGGCCTTAAGGCTTTAGACAGGTTCTTAGCCTCTCCGGTCCTGAGCAAACGTAAGTCTGTGAACCGGCATGAGGCACGTTTACACACTTGCGTTTGCTTTGGACCAAGCTCCTGCGATCTCTTACAACGAGAGAACACACTGGCACGCTGGCGCCATCTATGAGGTGACCCTGGACCTGCATTTCACTAGAGAGAAGGTCTAGCGGTATATACGAGATCAAGTTGACGTACTATATATGGGAAATGGTCGGACATAACATTGACGAATGTTGCTTTAAACCGAAAATAAAAGTATTGCGCGAAATGTTATTTACAAAATATACGAAAACTGCGAGGTTCCATGGCTTCCCGATAGATGGCGACAGTGTGTTTCTCGTTACACGATATTTTAAGAGCTTTTACCTTTTGAGAGAGACGGTTGTGAGCAGTCGTAGGTGTGTGAATCAAGATTTAAAGGCTGGTTCACGCACTTGCGACTGCTTACAACCGGGGAGCTTAAAATCCTGTTTGAAACCTCTTGTGACTGCTGACAACCGCTGTGCAGACCGTCGTAAACAATCACAAGGATCTTAAAAACCTGTTTAATAATTTATCTAAAATTAGTGCGACCTTAAAGAAGGTCATTTAGGGAGTGGAAAAGAATACACAGATTGCATGTCCATAGAACAAAAAAAAAAATGTATAAAGTGCGCACCCTATAGAAAAACATTACCAACGGTTAAAAATGGGTTGACAAAACTACATCACGTATCAACAAGAACCTAGTGCACTTTAATATAAATTTCTCAAGTTGAAGTAGGTGAATAGCTCCATCAATGCTGTTCCAAGTATCGATAGTCCTCAGAAAAATGGAATATTTAGAACTATTGAGGTGACAAGTATACGGTACAATATTTAGAGCATGAAAGTTACGAGTGCGTGATTGAGTTATGAAATCAATATACTTTTCACGAATAACTATACTCAGCTCTTATTCACTATTTTGTGTAGCAGCTTTAGTCATTTCACAATACGTCTTGAACCTAAGGTTTCAAGTCCAATGTCTGGCATTCACGATGTAAGAGAAAAGGTTCCATCATATCGATTAAATATTAATCTAGTTACATTAGCTTAATGAAAAAACATTTAGGGCGCAGGCGAGCTGGTGTAAGTTTACCATTTTTTAGACCACCTGAGACTGGGTGGAAGAAACACGACGACGTCTCAAGGTCTAAAAAATGGTACATTAGCTTGTATTGCGTCAAGCAGCTCTATATCTCCCTTTAAATAAGGGTCGCCGACCCCACAGCCATATTCTAAAATCGGTCTAATTCACTCTAAAAAATGTTTGTGCGTCTACTTTCACGCACAACACTCGGAGAGCCAATCACCGCAACTTACGGAGGCAGCTCAGCGAATGATGATGCCGAAACATATGTTTTAGACCAAAAAACGCAATCTGAGTTGTGACATTAAGCAATGCAAAACATCACGCTTGCATTGCTTAATGTCTCAACTCAGGCTGCGTTTTTTTATCTAAACATATGTTTCGGCATTGTCATTCGCTGAGCTGCTTCCGTAAGTTGCGATGATTGGCTCTCCGAGTGTTGTGCGTGAAAGTAGACGCACAAACTTTTTTTAGAGTGTAGAGTAGCGAGGACGAAGGTCATGTTGTTGGGGACAATCGAATTAGCCTCGAGGAACTCAGATATATTTTTATGGAATATGTGTTCAAGAGCCTTGCAAAAACATGATGTCAATGAATTTGGTCTAAAGTTAGGATCCTCTTGCTTGCTACCGGATTTAAATAGTGGAATACTTTTAGCTGACTTCCATAGTCGAGATATGGTTGCACTAAAAATAGATGTCTCGAATATTCCACTAAAGTACTTTAGAGTCCAAATTGAATACCGGTGATGATTAACGGTGATCAAGCTTCAAGTGTAGATTAAAAATACCAGATACGCTAATGTTAACGCCTGATAAAGCTCAGCCTGTACCGTCAAAGCAAAAATCTGGAACGTAATCATTATCGCAACTAAATACCGATCAAAAGTGTTCTTTAAAACAGTTAATAATCACTGCTGGTTCACTAACATATTCACCTCGAATAATAAAGCTTTGCGACCCATTACATTTTGGCAGGATAGACCTCCAGACTTTGGCAGGATTTGATTTCGTAAATTCAGACAGAGTTACGTTAAAATACCTGGTTTTAGCTGCTAACATTTTTTCCTTCAAAGCCGTCTTAAGACCCTCAAACAAAGCGTTATCAGCCGACGCTACATTGCGTTTCGTATAAAGTTTCCGTTTTGTTTTCCGCATCAACTGCAAAACCTCACTCATAATCCAGGGGTACGAGGGATTTTTCTTCTTCTTTGTAACAGCTACAAGATTGTTAATGCATTTTTCTGCAAGAAAGTTGAAATGATTAAGCAGCGCATCGGACGTCTGCGTCTGTACTCATGGCACAAAATTTATCAGAACAAAAACTAAGTTCATCAATTATAGCTACATCGTCAACCCTGTCGGACCCAAAGATCGTGACGATTTCAAGGTTTATATGGTTGACACGATGTTCGAGGCTAACTAAAACTGGTTTGTGATCAGAAATTTCTTCCATCCCTTCGCAATCGTAACCTAGGTTTGTAATGTTGGGACTGAGAAAAATTTAAAATCTAGAATAGAATTATCTCTTATGTGAACTTCATCAACCTCATCTAAGACAAATGACACCGTCAGATCTACCAGAGCATCGCAAATTGCCCCATCTCGGCAACCATTCAAAAGTCATGTCGTATTACACCTGAGACTGCGGTGGAAGAAATCGGAAGAACTTTCAGTAGAAGGAACTGAAGAAGGAGCTGAGTTTGAGACGTTCTCTGTGTCTGTTCCTTCTACTGAAAGTTCTTCCGATTTCTTCCACCGCAGTCTCAGGTGTAATACGACATGATTAGCTACCACCAGCTCGCCTGCACTCTCACATTCAAAAGTGTTTCCCAATTTATATCAGGTGCATCAAAATCACCCAGTAACACGAGCTTAACATAAGCGAGTCTGTATTTCTGAAAGTAATCGTAAATATTTAGAATAAATTCGAGGAAAAACTCAGGGGCTCTATAAACAGCGCCGATAACAAAAACAAACTAATCGAGCTGCGCCTCGCACCATTAAGACTCGATGTTAGGCACATTAGGATGAACAGAGAAGATAAATTCAGTTTTAAAAGAAATAACGCAGCACCCCCTCCTCAGGAAGGTCTATCACATCGTACTACGTTGTAATTATGAGGTGTGTATTCACGATCAAGAATGGCATCATAAAATCAGGTTTCCGTTACACATATTAAGTGTGGTGAATATGAAGATGCAATACATGAAACCTCAGTGACATTGGAGAAAAGGCTTCTAGCGTCAATGTTTATTACAGGAGACGGTTTATTCCTTACTCGTCAGTTTGAACGTCCAGATTGAGCCAATGGAAGAACTTTTACAAGTTTGTGAATTGTTGCAAGAACGTGATCGTAACGCAGACTTACGTTGGCGCCACTGTTTCTAAATTCCGCAGTACCGAACCAAAGCTCTTTTGAGGCGAAGTCGACTTTAGCCAAAAACAAGTGTGTGAACGAACCTTTAAAAACAGTTTTCAAGCCTCTTTTGACTGCTTACGACCGAGTGCGCCGTAGAAGTCCCAAGCTAATAATGCCAAAGCAAAAAATAAAATAATAATAAACATGATTATTTTATTACATTATGAAATAAAATTTGATAAATAATTATTATGATTTAAATCATAGTTGCATGAAAATAGGGATTCTTTGTCAGTATGCACTCTAAAAAAAGACCGTGCATCCGCTTTCCCGCACAACACTCGGAGAGCCAATCACGGCAACTTACGAAGGCAGCTCGGCGAGTGACGATGCCAAACATATGTTTTGACCAAAAAACGCAGTCTGGCTTGTGACATTAAGCAATACAAGCGTGACGTTTTGCATTGCTTAATGTCACAACTCAGACTGCGTTCTTTGGTCTAAAGATATGTTTCGGCATCATCATTCATTGAGCTGCCTCCGCAAGTTGCCGTGATTGGCTCTCCGAGTGCTGCGCGGAAAAGTGAACGCACGGGCCTTTTTTAGAGTGAGACGAATTTTAAAAATAACAGATTGATTAATCAATCCGCCCTATCACTTAAAACAACACGAAAGAAAGAATTAGTGTGCGTGTAAGTTTAATTAACAACCTCTTATTAATGTTAGCCCAGTCGAACGAGAACAAACGCACCTTCAGTTTTTGCTAGAGAAAAACGCTTTATTTGTTTTTTTCTTTTGTGTTATGATTTGCTTACTATAGGACATTACATAACTGAAAAAGAAGTGGAAGGTAACTCTCGGTCTTGATCAGAAAAGCCCCACTTTTTGCTTGCGTTCAGCTTATAAATCTTTCTTGCATGATGATCATCCGACTTATATGAGAACAAATACGCATAGAAAGCAAGATATGATACACAAGCGATAATTATAAGCAAAATTTTCGGGATTGTTTTACGCAGAAAATGTTTTATTTAAGTTATCATAGGAAAATCGGTGCGACATAAATCACTATATAAATCATATTTATCTTTATTCTCGACTCTGGTAGTGGTACACATAAAGTAGTCTCACAAAGCTCTGACAGTGCATTACGGTATCGTGAACTTGAGAATTTCGACTAAGGTTTTGGAAATTTAAGTAACAATTTTTTTCCCATTGCAAAAACAGAAAAAAAAAGGTCCCTGCGATGATTTTGTTGCAGTGCTTGTTCCCACGAATGGCAAGGGTCCGAAAGAAGGTTGCCCCGCTGGATTCAAGATGCGAGACGATGGATCCTGCATGCCCATCGGCCCCCCTCAAGAACATCACCGTAAGTATAGGGGTAAATTTAGATCGACCATAAATTTAATCAAAATGAAATATCATAGAGTTGTCGTAAGAATTCAATACATTCTAAGCAACATTAAGAAATATTCTGCGCCAACTTTACCATAAAACACTCCACCCCCCCCCCCTCCCCGGCTAAAAAACAATAAACACAAAAAACATTGGCATTGAAAGATTAAGGAAACAAATTCTTGCTCAGTGTCCCTGCGCAGATAGTATTTTGAACAGATCACGGTATATTAACTTGATAAAAAGCGTTTCATTGTGTCGTTGTGATTTTTTTTTTCTAAATAGCCGCATTCTTTGGGGAGCCCACCGGTTGTGGATTGCTAAAGGTTTTATTTCTGTTTCTCCGCCACAAAAAAAAAAAAGAAAAACAAGAACAGAGAATTTACAATAGACTGAAGTCATTTTTTCAGATACGTTAAAAAGTAGGAGTTTGCGAATATTGGTACAAATCGTATAATGCCCCGTCACGTCTAGCTTGCCTTCGCAGTTAAAAGGAGAAGACCATGCCGTGGTCTACCTTTTCACTGTCGAGGCTGCAGATTAGGCAGTACTTTTCGATCTGTGCTGAACTCACATACATCTCTTTTAAGAGGGGGCGCACCTCAGAGCCCCATAGAGAATACATGAGGTTTTTCACCAAATTAAAAAAATTCTCACATAATAACGGCTGCGCGGATCTTCTTGAAAATTTCGGCTTTAAAGACATTGAGTCATTATCGAGACACTAAACGCAACAGATGTTTCGTCATAAATTTAATTATATTCTTTAAAAAATCATGAAAATGGTCAAAATCGGCTAATTCGGCACTCTTGCGTTCGGAGCGAATTTACAAAATTATCTAAATTCAAACATAAGAAGAATTGCGCTTAATGTCTTCTAAATTTATTACGGAATCGAATAATATTCAAATTATTCATGTAAGTCGATTTGTTCCGTAACTACAGCAAATATAAAGAACCAAGGTGTCGGTGCTTGTTTTCGTCGTTTTTAAGGTACCTCTCTCTCCCGTGCGGTGGCGCTCGCTGTCCACGCGGTGGCGCTCGCTGTCCACGCCCGATCCAAAGGGCTCAGCCGTATTCATCCATGCGAAATCGTCCGTTCGGAGATCGGCCGGATCGGCACTGTGCGAGGTGTTCTTCCGCGGCCGTATTCCGCGCCCGTATCCTGTTTCATTCTGCACGCCGAGGCGTCAGTGTGCGTGTCTTGCTTTCCTGGTTCTCGCTGGGTAGGTCTCCGTGTTTTCGCAAGTGGCAAATTCACCTTGGAGCTATGGGTCGAAGACAACCGTCCTGTGGCAAGCGGACCGCGAGGTGTTCCACAACCTCGCGGTCCGTCAACGCGTTGTGCTTGTTTCTACTTTTTTTTTTCTTTTAAAAACGGGCTTTTTTTTTTTTTTTTTGACGCAAAGATTTATTTTATCGTTATCCTTCACACAAACGTCCTTCGGCCTTGGGGTCGTGGAAATTGGGGATGAAGCGTGCACAGAGTAGATCGTTGTTTGCCTCCTTTTTATTTTTCACGGACGTCCTGTGACCTCCGTACGGTTCGTGGTCACCACAATCTAACGCGGGGAAAAACGGGTCGCCTGCTCTGTAGTCAGCTAGGGTATTCCTAGGGGAGGGTGATAACTCGCTGTTCTTCTGGAAATTCACATATCACCCAAAAAGGTGACTTGGGTAATGATTACGGTATGTTTTTTTCCGGTGTTTATTTTTGAGCGAAATCGGTGCATGTTTTTCGGTGCTTATTTTTTAATCACCAGTGTATTATGGGTTGAACGTCTTGTGATGACGCTAAAAAGCGTTGATAACCAAAGAAAAATGCGATTGGACAAGAACATTTCAAATTTCCAATTCTATTCACATATCCATTACGCTCTTCTCGTGGGAGCATCTATCCTGACGAAAAATGCCAAAGTCATTGAGCTGTGAACGCATACTCAGTGTACAATCTTTCGGCCTAGAGAGGTATTGCGCACGCTCGAGTATACTTCTGTTTGTTTTTGTTAGCTTAGGAGGGGGTCACAGAGCCTATCTCTTTGTCTTCCTCTAGGACAGACGTACAGAGTTATACCGCAACACGCATCTGTGGAACACACAGAGCTATCGCTCTCCTGTTGGCGGTACAGTAGCAGACGACACAACGCAGCTCCGTAGTCTATCGAGGGCACGGCTAGCCGCGGCCCGTAGCGCGACCGTTCAGACTTGGGAAATGGTTTTGAAGAACCGAGAAATGGTATCTTGTGTACAATAATCACATGTCGTTAGTATACTAGTATTCTACTTGCTAAGCCAAATAAATATGTGCAGCTTGTGAGAATATGTTTGCGTGACGATTTACCGTTCACACTCCTGACGGATGTTAGCGAGTCCTTCATGTTCGTGGCTCGCAGTTATCGGTACCCCCTCGGAGTGACTTCACCATATATATTTTTTTCTTGCTTGCAGGACATCATAAAAATCACAAACACGCGAGAAAAAAAAATCTTATGAGTACGCGTGATTTTGAGCTTCGCAGCTCTAAAGATGCCCGGTAAATGTCGTCCAGTCTGTTTTGTCTATACTCCGTTTCACCGTAATTTGGCAACCCTCAGTCGCGGAGCAAAGCACGTGACAGCTACTTTTACGAGCAGTACTATGGCACCTGCAGCGCGTCTCCGACTGGTGTGGTTAGCGTCTTATGCTGGCCATACATCAAAAGTTGTCCCGAAGTGCAACAAATGACGTCACAGAAGACGGAGTGTCACGCTGTTGCATCTCGCGATCCTGGCAATTCATCGTAGAAATGCTGGCGAAAACCACGAGGGAACACGAGTGTCGCTGTCGTCATGGCGTCCCAACGAAAAGCAATTATACAATTTCGACGTTTTTGTAATTCGGTAATTTAAATTACTGTATATAATTTTTAAGAAAGTAAAGACATCATAACCAAATAGGAACTTCCGTGCCAAAACATGCAGTGCGAAGTGAAGACAACTACTATCTTTTTTTTTTTTTTTTTCTTGATGTCCACAAAGAAAAAAAAAGGCTATGCAGCATCGATCCTACCGTTTTTTTGTTGTTTTTTTCGCACATTATGTGATGTCCTCTAACACGAAAGTACCGACGTAAAAGCGCTGTAGAGACGATATAAAAACAAAAATTTAAGGGAATCGAGCTTTGTAGTAAACGGAAAAAAATAAATAATTAACGACTTTTTACGGTAAACACTTCACCTCTAAGTAGAACTTCAAAAAAGTGACGGTTACGCGCTTTCATGCCCATTTCAACAAAGTTGGGAGAACGATGTATTGCATCTTGTGAATAGACATGTGGAGCAGCATGTTTATGTTAGAGGCATTGTGTGTAATCGCTGCGCAGTACCTGCCAAAAGAAGATATTATTTGGGCAGTCTCAACCGTTTCCGTCTGTGTGTGCTACGAATACAGCAACTCTTTTCGTAGAAGTGATGAGGAAATGGCGTGCCCTTGATGATACGATTGTGATTATGAAATAAAATTTTTAATCAGCCAATAATTGCGACCTGTCCGGTCGCCTGGAACCCCGACAACAACTATAGTTCTCTGGAAAGTTCATTCTAATATTTACACGTTTTGTGGAGTTCATCGAGCGAATAAGAATGTTCCAACGATGAGCTAAACCTACACGAGTTCCCCAATCCAACTCGGCGCTTTTGAATTTTAGCGCCGTAGATAGTTCTGCGAACAGAGTATACTTCTGTGCAAATATTCGTCTAACAGTTTTGCAACGTTGGAAAGCATCGGAATGATTCAGAATCACTGCGGAGTTGATACTCGGGAAGATAAGACGGGCACTTGGGAGAAACGGACCGTGGCATTTGAGACAGGGGCACAACCGGGGGACAAACGTGCTACAATCGCATACCCTTCCAAGGTCATCGCTTGGGCGACCGCGCGCGCGCCCAAGAAACCTTTCTTTTCTTCTTTTTAGGGGTGGTGGGGAAGGGGGGGGGGGGGGGGGGGGGCTTGGGGCCAGCACATCCATCGTGCCATTACATCCATCGAGCAAATCCGTCCAATCTCGTGCCATTACATCCATCGTGCCAGTACATCCATAGTGCCAGTACATCCATAGTGCCAGTAGATCCATTTCGGGCCAGTTCATCCAGCGTGTAACCAAATCCAACGTGCCATTGGATCCATCGTGCCATTACATCCCCTGCGCCATCACATCCATCGAGCAACTTCATCCAAAGCGTGTCATTACATCCATCGTGCTATCATATCCATCAAGCAGCTTCATCCAAAAACGTGCCATTGCATGCATCAATTACGCAAATTTTCTCCGCTACACATTTCGTTTCTTTCTTTCTTGAAAGCTACTTCAGACATTTGCGTTTGCTTATGAACGACTCTTTGCGACCGCTTGTGCCGGTGCGAGCAGCAATTGCGAAAGGGTTAGTGTAATTCTCTTAAGGATGGTTGAGACATTTGCTTTGACTGCGTTGACTCCCCATTGGCTCGTCGTGAGGATCGTCCATTGGTTGTAACCAGTCGTAACGCAGTCAAACGCAAATGTCTGAACCGACTCTTTTAAGCGCTGTTCAGACACTTGCAACCGAGTACGATTGAGAGAGAAAAGACGGCGTAAGACCTGCTCCGCGGCAGCGCATCCGGTCCTCCGCCGTCGCAAGAGGCTTAAAAATCGGTCTTGTCTCACGGTAGTACCTGGTTGCAAGTAGTCGCATCGTCACGAGAGGTGGCGAAACGCATCATAATAACGGGCCAACACGAGATATACTGATGTGGGGAGCGGTGTAGCCTTAACCCAGCGAATTTGGCAATCCTGAATATGTTCGGAGTTTTCCACACTCAAGCCTAGAAGGTTTTTCTGCTATCTGTACATTTGTAAACATGGTTCGCGTGACGCAATTTCACCATAAAGTGCCTGCAAGGCAAAAGATCAGAGAGCGAATCCGCTTAGCATGCCTATCATCTTGCCCTGAGCCCGACC